ACACGCACACACACACACAAACACACACACACACACATTTCTTTCTCTGCTACTTAACTCTAACAAGCTGTCGTTTGCTTTGTCCCAACACTAAACAAACACTACTGTGTCCTTGTTGGCTACTTTTGTACTTGCCAAACAAATGTCGTCTCTTTTTTATACCACCGCTAAATAATCACTGAAAACTGCAGAACATAATATTGATTGGCATTTCTGTTCCTCGAAATGTTACTAATTTTCTTTCCACTCTGCTTTCCCAGGACCGTGAGTTTGTGGAGATGGACATGACCTTCAACGGAGCGCCCAACAACCCCTCGGAGACCCCGCCCCCTTCCCCTGACCCATCCCTGGGGTCAAACCGGCGGAAGTCCAGCTGCTGCGCGCGCAGCTTCTCACCCAACCGGAAGCTCATGTCCAATAAAGTAAGAAGGAGAGGTGAATGGATGGAGAGGCAGATAGACACATCGACAGAAAGACAGACACGGGCAACTATGAAGAGAGATACTTTTTTCATTCTATAAGCAGTCCATCTTAAAAATAAATTAGTCGTTCTGGGGAATAAAGTTTGGTAAAATTTAATAGAATGCGCCATTTTTTCAATTGTTGAGACTAAACGTGAATTAAATATCTTTTAAATTCAGCAAAAATGGTTCTAATCCAGCTATAATTATGCAATATTTTTTCTCTAGCATTGTTAATTAATGTGCAGTTTTAGCTAAATTACAAACATTCATTCTCCCTTGAGCCTGACTTTAAATGAAGGTAAGCGAAATAAAGAAATTTTGTTGAGAGTGACATTTAAGACGGTCACAATATCATAAGCACAAAATACATCAATACACGTTTCAAAGGCTGAAGTGAAAGCATGATACTATGCCAGATGTCCACAGTGCGACAGAGAAAGTTAATTTGAATGAACTTGCACGCCAAGGGAGCTGTTGTGTAATCTCGGTGTGTGTGGAAGGGGGGGGGGGTACATTACAATATACAAATATATGAAACTGTTAACAAAAAATACAGGTCTGTGAGAGAGGCCTTCGATGGGTTCAACTTTGCAGTCATTTATGTATGCTTGTTCGTCATAATTCCCAAAAGATTGAAGTTCTTTCTTCTTTGTCGCAATGTGTTTCCTGCTTAAGATAAAGAAAAACAAGGATAGTAAACGGAATAATATTACCTCTCAAAGTGGTGTATCTAATGGTGGAATGCCGTTCGTGGAAGTCCAGGCTCTGATATACATTTGCTCTATTTATCTCCCCATTCTTATCGCCCTGTTTTTATCTCAAAATGTGTTTCCTTTCTTTTTCTTTTCTCTGTCAACTGAGCTAATTTGTCTGCTGCCCAGGTGACCTTATTGCACCCAGTAAGGCGTTTTAATTCGAGCATAAAGATATTATATGTGTACGTTTTGTAATCGCCTAGTCCGTCCCAGCATTCTTTATCTTATTCTCGTATCTCCTCCACAGCCAAAGCGCTCACTTCCGACCCACCACAGCATTGAACGCCAGGAGCTAAACGATGTGCGCATGCGCACTTCACCGGGTTCTCACCATGACTCACGCTCCAGTGACGTCAACATCCTGGACGTGCAAGGCTTTTCCAACGCAGGCCACACGCGCAGCAGTAGCTGTGGAGGCAGCGGGGGGAACAACGGGCTTGGGAACAACAAAGCTAACAGCACGCAAAACATTCACAACCTCAACTCCCAGCCCAACATCGCCGCCCTGGATACCTCCCGCCTCATCAACTCGGGCGGGATAGCATCAGCCTCGGGCGGCCAGCACAGCAGCCAGCCCAACATTGGCTCTCTCGGGAAACCGCTGTCAAGTAGTCAGCAGAATATCACTACAGCGCTTGTTTCTTCGAATCCCATGTCCGCTGGAAGTACGCACTCCGTACCGGAGGCTATGCCGACTACCGCCCCCAATACTGCGCATGGCAACTCCACGCCTTCCTCTTCCTCGTCCAACAAAGGCGACGTGGTCCGAATATCCACGTTATAACGCTGAGCCCTCTTGTCGTTCTGGCCGCTTGTCTGTCGTCATGGTGATGCCCCCACACGCAGCGGCGACGTACAGCGGTCCGTGTCCCAATCTGATTACGTTTCCCTCGAGTGTACATATAAGCCAGCATGGCGGCACGTAACCATCTCTTTGAAAGTGCATTTCCACGTAGATTATGCCACTACCCCATCATATGAGCGTCTCCTTGACGACGCCTCAACCGTCTCACAGATGTGTGGACTCGGGAAGTTTTGTCACCGTCTCGCGGAAGTGCATCTTTGCAAAAAGAAAATCCTGTCCGCGTCTTGTGGAGTCACAAGGACTTACATCCCCTTGCAGATTTTATCTTCGCATGTGCAACCTTTACTCAAACGACTTGATCAGCTCTGAGATAGTTGTTTTCTTTTTATTTTGTCCATTTTGAAAAAAAAATCATATACATTCATAATATTATTATGTCTGCTAGCTCTTGGATTACAGCGAAGCAATTTTTGTGCCGACGACAGAAGAGGTGTCATGAGTCTGAGTCAAAATGTGTTTATCGCCCCGTGGTCTGCAGGTGTGCACTAAAACAGAGTGCATACGAGTAGTGTGTGCGTGTGCGTGTATGTTGTGTGTCTGATTTCTTTTCGGATTTATACCGTTTCTTTTTTTTTTCATTCGAAAATACTCAACCCCGGACTGACGTGTTCGCTCACTCGCCATGTGCATCTTGAAAAACAACTCCTGTGACTTCCACTGAAGACTTCTGTGCTCGTCTATAGAAAGGGAGAAAGAAGAGAGAGAAAAATGAAAAAGCGTTTGTCTGAACGCCTTTTAAGTTCATAAAAAAATTAATGTGTGTGTGGACGCAACCTTAGTGAGCTTTTGGTAAGGAAGTGTACAGTGCTTTATGGCCCAAAGCACAATTTGGAGTTAACTTAACCTGTACATATTTCCGAGCGTCCCTGTGTGTCAGATAGACTCCTGCTTCTCCTCTATGAGGCTATTGTATTGCACTTCCCGAGAGAACAATCCTTGAAAAACGGCATAACCTGAGGTAGTGCAGTTTTACTGTGGATATCGTTAGATCTTTTCCATCGAATCAAATCCCTTTTCAAATTGATTTTTATGACACATTTGTCACTTGTATACACTTCACAGAATTTTCCTTGTGCACAAAAAGTCACCAGCTGTAGATGTTATTCCTTCTAAGCCTTTTCTCACCTTTATCTGTATACTTACTTATACCTTCTTTCAAGACAGCCATTGCAAAGGATCCTTTTTGTACATTTCTGGCAGATTCAATAAAGGTGTCCTGACATAGCTTTGGCTCCTGATAAAAGCAGAAATTGTCTTTCAGACGAATCATGTTTAATGACACGTACCAATAGAGTGACTCTTAGCTCAAATGGGAAGACGCTACATGTGATTTGGGTTGAAATCCGTGCAGGTTGTCTACTTTATTGTAAAACGTGTATTGTCGGAGTTATTTGGGGCTCCTTGCTGCGTCCTGTCGGAGACTGGTGTTAAATCGCTCACGCTCGATTGGCTTGAAATTCCTATTCCTTGGGGGGGGGGGTCTCTACCAACCATGAAGTTTGCACAGTTATTACACTCCCTCAGTGGGATTTTTTCATGTGGCTCTCACTCTAACTTTCCGGTAAAAGATAGGGGATGTGATATTATCTGTTGAGTGAATTTAGACTCTTGCAATAAAGCCGTCTCCAGTAAAGCGTGATCTCTGAAATGTTAGGAGAGAGCTTTGAGACAGCCGTGATTGGAGATGGAAGGACAGGGGCCATAATAATTTGCTAGGTGAGAGCACTACTAGAAAGTAATGTTTTCAAACGTTATGATATCAAGCCAGACTAAATGTTTCTCATGTGTACGAGCATATTATGCTTAGTCTGAATAAAATGTTGATCTGAAGGGGAATGACAAAGAGAGTCTTCATTCATGGTCGCTTTTTCCTGATGTCGTTGAGATTTATCACCCTAATAGACATATTGCTTGTCATTTTGAAGGCGGATCATCTGGGGAGGGGGGGGGGTATGGGGACACTGTGCTCTAGAGGAATATTCATAGGCGCCTGAGGAAAAAAAGTCGATTAATTTGGATTGGAATCTCGGCCATTCATGCTGCAGATCAAATTGTTTAACCTGCTGAGTCCTAGCGGCCCTGAAAAAAAGGATGTAAGTTACTCAGTAATCAGCATACACGTAGCGAAGAGCGAATTGATTTATTTCTCGGTCCTTAGATTGACAATTGGCTGGTAGTGGAAGAGTAAAAATAGGATATTCTGAAGTGTTGCCGTCTGATGAAGCCTACATCATATGCAAGCACTGAAAGTGTAGATCTAGCTATTAACATGCGCCACAAATGATGAAGTGTATGGGATTACAATTCGGCGTTATGTCAAAGAAAAGCTTCGTTTTAAAAATATCCTAGAAATTGCTCAACATTACCGCACATAAGCTAAAAGTTTAGTTTCAACGTGCAAATTGATTATAAGATAGAATTAATTTATTTTATTTTGTTTATAATCAAATGCCTTGAAACGAGCTGCCCCATTGAAATGCCTGAATATGTGGAACATTCATGCATGTATTAAACAGCTTTCAAGACAAGAAGGCCCTTTACAGTTTCAACTAATTTCCCCTCTTTATTCTTCATCTGCGGATTGGAAGCGATAAGTATGAGTATTCTCTGGAAACACTCTAGTCCAAGACGGAGTGTTACATGGCCTTTTAGTTGAATAAATTATTCTTCTTTTAAAAAGTTAACAATGCGAAAATGTGAGTTCAAAGAAACAGTATAATTCAGTCGTGTGATTACATCATTGTCTTCTGTGTGTCACGTCACCATTTCATGTTTTCGCTTCCATTTCCTGTCTGTGATCCTCGAGCTGGGCACTAAGTGCTCCAATTCAACATGGCGGACGAGTGGCTTCCGAGGCAGATCTATAGGAACACATCGGTCAAGATCGATACTTTGTACAGTTACGTCATCCATTTATGTGCACTCATACTCATTCCCCGACTGATGTAGATGCTGTGATTGTTCTGCCCGCGATACCAGCCATTGGTCAGCTGCGAATTTCGTTGACGGTTTTTTGTTTTGTTTTGTTTCTTCTTTTTTCATTTGTCTTTTTTTTCAAAGTTTTTCTTGTTTTTTGTGTGTGAAGGGGGGGGGGGGGCTGCTCGAAAAAGAATCTGGGGGGGGGGGCTGAGTGGAGAGGAATGAGGTATTCAGAGTTGGCGTTGCTTGATCAAAGTTCGAGTCAATTCTTTTTGTCAGCTCGACGTCAATATAATAGCATACACATTATTTTTCATGGTTTCGTATCCTGGTCTAGTCTAAGTGTGTTCACATGTGAATTGTATATGTGTGTGAGTGTGTGTGTGTGTGCGTGTGTGTGTGTGTGTGTGTGTGTGTGTGTGTGTGTGTGTGTGTGTGTGTGTGTGTGTGTGTGTGTGTGTGTGTAAGTAAGTTTATGTGCCTGTGTATTTTTGGGAAGGATATAAGGACAAACGATTAAATAATAATATGCTTTTGCTCGGCAGTTTCGTTTTCTTGTATTTTTCCTGAAGAAAAAAGGGGGCAGGTGAATGTTTTCTTTTTTTAGTTGTATTTATTTTATGTGATTGGTTGGCTTTATCCCTTTGGCCGGGGTGCTAGGAAAGTTACCCTGTTTTTTTTCTTGTATTATGTTTATATTTTTTAAAGGGAATTCGTCATTAACGGGTGTAATGATAACGAACAGATGGTGGGTCTTGTGTGCACCACTCCTGGAAATCGTTTCATGCCTCAGACGGGATTCGTAGTTGACCAACGGTCATCTTTCCACATGATGATGGCGTGTTGAGATTTTGCACACCGTACACATCATTTGCTGCATGACGTCTTGTGTTTTTATGATCATCAAAATTTTTTTTACGTATTCTATAATAATGCGCTTTTTATCTTTAATGTACATAGACTGATGGGCAATTTATTATGCTTTTTTTTCAACACCAAAATGAGTTTATTATGATTATTATTCTACTATTATTCTATTATTACGGTTATTACGGTAGGTCTATAAAAATATTTGTAATAATTATGATAATTTATGCATGGAGCCAGGTACTGCATGCCTACCTCATTAGATTGCATTCTGGGAGCAGATGGACACACAGTGTTCATTTGGATGATTGTGTACTAGTGTGCATCTGCATCAATTGTCTCTAGAATGCGTTCGTGTTCACGGGTGAGAGCGAAGCTTACATATTTCCTCTTGCACTGGTCTTATCAGAAGCTAATTTTCCCCTCATATGAAGCTGTTGGCGTTTTTAGATATAGTAGTATGTCAGAAATGATCGAGAATAAAAGCAGATTGCTCATATCCATCGGGTTGGATCAAAGAAAATTACCCATGAAGACGGCCATCGTCCATTTGTGTCAGTTTCACTGTTTAAAAGGAAAACAACAAACCGACCAGAGCAAAAGAGCCCCCAAAAATGCTTCAGCTTAAAACTGTCTTTTCCGTTTCATATCTTTTATACATTTGGTAACCCATAGATCTACTTCTACTGTCGGCTTTCCTTTCTGAAAGGGCAGTATTTTCCTTGAACAAATGAATTCTGTAGGTTACAGTTAGAACTAAGAACAAGAGTCAGGTTACTCAAATTTAGGACTATGTCACAATTTACAAATATGTGGGTGGTCAGCCACGTAGAATTATCCTGTATAGTACAGTAGGCTGTACGGTGTAATACAATTCTCTCCAACACAGTTACACACAACTAAAAGAGCAGCTGTCTTTAAGGCTGTCCACAATCTTGGAAGTATCTTTTTTTTTATTGCGGACTTTGTGAGCTTCTAAGTCCAAGCTTTTGTTGTGGTCTTTTCTTTATCTGCAAGGTCTCCAGAGCTGATTCATTGTGTGGCTGAGATAAATGTATATAAATCCTCCCTGACCCGTTCCCGCGTCGTGGTGAAATGTTTTCTGTTATATTTCTACTGCTTGTGATCTATTGTAAATCATTGTATAGATCTAATATTAAATTGTAAAAGAAATGTCTTTATTCCTAATTAAAGTATACATGAGGTCGTTTTTGCGTGGCAGAACTCTCTACTCGCCTAAATGTGTGTAAAGGGCAAGGGGCACATTTTCTTTTTCTTTTTCTTTCTTTTATTATTATTATTATAATCTATTATTATTATTATTATTATTATTATTATTATTATTATTATTATTATTATTATTATTATTACCTTTGAGAAAAGAGACGGGAGAGGGGAGAGACGGAGGTAAAACGGGGGTGGGAGCTTACAGAGGGGGGCCATGGTATCGTTGACCGGTCGTGTCTTCGGTGTGAAGTCTTTGCCTTATACACAAATTAATGAGGTGACTTTTGTTCCTGTGCTGGCCCCAGAAGGGAGCATCAAAGCTTCTAAACCCAAAGGTTCTAAATTGTGTCGATGGATGGAAAACTTACTCTTTCAACAATGGGTATCGGTTTGGGGGGGTAGTGGGGGGAGGAGACATAATTAACAACACTGAGTGTTGATTTTGGCATCATTTAACCATATTATGGAGACAAACGATGATCTTACAACTGTGATGATAATCGCGTATGTCCACTTCCATATAGTTGAGAAACTCGGGTGAATGCCATTTGCACTTATTCGATTTCGAAACGAAAGGCTGTTAACATGCTGATATCCAGAGTTAAAGTCAGCGACTAGATAACAGCTATTTAGGACCGGAGCAAGATACAGGGACTGAGAAAAATAAACAGCTAAACACTAGGAACTCTTTTAGTGGTGACCTTCAGATACATGCACTGTCATTAACGAAATGAAAACA